TGATCTCTCCTGATCACCTAGTTGATTCTTTCATTCATAATTGACAACTTCACACGCAGTTCGAGTTAACCTGGGAGCATGACCTAACTATCCAGAAAATGAGTGTGCAATTATGTCGCCTCTGTGGATATATGTATAAGGGAAACGTCCCCGTAATTGGGGCAGTATCTGTGGGCCAGTGAACGGCTACTCGCTATATATTTGCCACTACCGGTCTTGAATGTCGAACCGACTGGACACCTTCCATAAAATCCTCAGTCTGTGTCAGGCAGTCGAAATTGGAATGGACTACACAAGCTCTTGGACGTCACGATATGCATAATGGGGACATAGTTCTCCGTAGGTGTTAATATTTCCTTCAACTTTATTAGTCAGAGGTAGGTTTGTTAGGTCAAAATAATTATTTTAAATAATACTTTAGTCGTTGACAAATCCCACAGTTTGAACAAAGCAAAGGCGAAGACGTATATATGTACAATCTAATGACGTCGGAAAAAAGAGGTTAAGAACGACGTTTCAAGTATTGCAATCACTGGCGCGGCTGATGGCTGTTTTCTTCCACAACTATTTGTAGAAGTGTGGGAATTAAACCTGGTTTTTCAGTTCACTAAAGTAGGTTGAATTTTAGATTAATCACGCCCCTGTGTTGTCATTTTTCAGAAATAACTACATGATTTTCATCTTCCAACAGGAGCTCACACTTTTTCAAAGCATCAGCCTCCATTAAACTGCCGTTTGCTTAGTTCCCCAGGACTCAACACACTCTTTTGATCTACAACCTTAGCCTTGCGAATTTCAATTCACCCCTTTTTTTGTTTTTAGCTTTCGAGGACCTCCTAAAGGTGCATACTTTCCTAAAGGCCAATGCCAGTTGGTTACAGTCACATTTACTGGCCGCGGAGGACGATAGCAGCGTTGAGGTCATTGAGGATGGACCTGTCCTCAGTGTTGGTTCCGCAGCTGACCTCAGGCAGAAGCTTCAATTACCCAAATGTCTGGATGTTTCGGTGAGTTAGTAGTCCTATTTTATGTTTCTGACTGCTCTAGTTATCTTCCAGTACGCTTGTGGTTCTATGGCTATTTTACTATATCCTGAAATTAGTGCACAGCAAGTTCTAAAACGAACGATCTGCTATTATGCAGAATTCACCTTCACTATGACACGCTGCAAATTGTGACACCACATTTCCAGTACACAATTCGAACTGCCTTGGGGGAGGGGGGTTTTCAAAGGAAATATTTATTTGCCTTATGTTTCTTCAAATTATAGCCTTGATCTATTTCGAAGAGAACTGACAAACGCCCAAATTGGCATAATGGATATTCTTGTGTGGATTTTGAATGCAGAGACCGCAGAACAAAAATTGACCATTAGGTCAGCGTGTCAAATGTCTTACAGCTGCGACTACTCAGTGTATTCAGCGCTTGTGGTTAGCTGCAACCGGACAAAAACCTCCATGAAGGGCCATAAAATGCGACGGATGCCAGTAGTCGACTCCAAATTCGCAGTAAATCTGTTGCGTGACATCTTCTCTGGAGATACTGGACTGCTTTTATCATTCTTCGGTAAAACTACTGGGGAAGTCCAACCTTTTATGAGCAACGGCAGCACTCAAGGATGTCTCGTCGAAGCCATTCTTTCCTCCAGAGGGTGCGTCAATGACGTTGTATAATAAGAGACCTCTTTAGCCCCAGTGAGCGTCGTGTTAAAACAGAGATTGTTCCATTTTGCTACCGACCATTAGCACCGCAATGTTCCTAGTCATTTTTCAATACCCTATCTGAGATGGTTCATTCACCTGCCGTCGCTATTACCGCCCACACAGCAGCCGGAAAACACGCAGACAACGCTAGTGCCACACAAAGCCGGCCTGGAGCGATGAGCTTCACGTGAATTAGATTCCTATGAGGCGGGTGTGCACGGCATCTACCTCACTACCGCCTCCCACCCTCATCGGGTTCCGACTTTAAGACGGAACCACAGGTGGGCTCGTGCGCAATGGCTGACAAAGCTAAACA